TTGGTCAGTGGTTGGACCACTAGACTGTAGTCCTTGATAAACTTGCGGTAAAAATTGGCAAAACCCAGGAAACGCTGGAGATGTTTACGGGTCTTGGGTTCTGGCCACTCCACCACTGCTTTTGTCTTAGCTGGGTCTGATCTAATCTGTCCCTCTCCAATAATAAAACCCAGGAAATGCACGGTTGAATAATGAAAGTCACATTTCTCTGCCTTGACAAATAGTTTGTTCTCCAGCAGTCGTTGGAGAACTTGCCTAACATGACTGACATGCTCCTCCTTGGTCTTGGAGAAGATTAATATGTCGTCTAGGTAGACAAACACAAAATGGTTCAGGAAGTCCCTGAGGACATCATTCACTAGAGCCTGGAAAACTGCTGGGGCATTAGTTAGACCAAACGGCATCACCAAATACTCAAAATGGCCTACAGGAGTCTTAAAGGCAGTTTTCCATTCATCCCCATCACGGATGCGCACCAAATAATATGCATTACGCAAATCTAGTTTAGAAAAGATAGTTGCACCGTGAAGCAGTTCAAATGCTGAAGACATGAGGGGTAACGGATACTTGTTTTTAATGGTAATGTCATTCAGGGCCCGATAATCAATACAAGGACGTAAGGTACCATCCTTTTTGCCAACAAAGAAGAACCCTGCCCCTAAAGGGGATGAAGAGCGGCGAATAAGACCAGCCGCCAGGGAATCATTTATGTAACTCTCCAGAGCCCCTAGTTCCTGTTTAGAAAGATGGTACGGGCGACTGGAAGGGAGTGGGGCATCTGGGAGAAGGTCAATGGAGCAATCATATGGTCTATGTGGGGGCAGTGTCTGGGCTTGGGTCTTGCTAAACACATCTGCTAGATTGTGATATTCAGAAGGAACCTGTGACAAATCCGGGGTTTCTACAAACTCGTCTTTGGTGTCAGATTTGGGTAGGGCGGAGCGAAGGCAATTGCCTGAACAAAACAACTCCAACTAATTTTCCTCCCCATAGACCAATCTATGTGAGGGTTATGGAGAACCAGCCAGGGGTGTCCCAACACAATACTAAAACTGGAGTTGGGAATAATCTTAAATTGGATTAACTCCCTGTGATTACCCGAGGTTACTGTCAAAACTGGGACTGTTTGGTGGGAAACACAAAACAATAGTTTGCCATTTAAACCTTTTGCTGACAATGGCGGACTAACAGGTTCAATGGGAATATTCAGCCGCTTTGCCAATTCAGCATCAATAAAACTGTCTTCTGCCCCAGAGTCTATCAAGGCAGCTAGAGAATGGGAAGAGGAGTCAAGACACAGTTTAACTTTTACCTGAAGACAATTAGAAGATTGGGGGAACTCATTATTGCTCATTAGACTCCCCACTTCTAATGAGCGCTTTCTTTTGGCCGCTGAGGAAAGCTGGTTACTCTGTGGCCAGGCTTGCCACAATAGAAACAGTCTCCAGATTGGAGTCGCCTCAGTCTTTCTGCAGCTGACAGACGTGTGCCTCCAATCTGCATCGGTTCTCCACCAGAAGGCTCAGGGGTAGGCGGCAGTTCTGGGGAAGTGACAGAGGGGGCGCTGTGGGCCCCAATGACTGGTTGGACAGACCGAGAAACAGGAAGTCGCCCGCTCCGCTCTCTGCGTCGCTCACGCTGCCTGTTGTCTAGTCGGATTGACAGGGTGATTAGAGAGTTAAGATCGGCTGCTTCTTCCTTGAGGGAGAGTTCATCCTTTAAGGCTTCATTTAGGGCGTTATAATATACTCCTCTGAGAGATCTGTCGTTCCATCCGGACTCGGCTGCCACGGTGCGGAAATCCAAAGAAAACTCTGCAGCACTTCGGGGACCTTGGCGGAGCTTTAATAGGCGCCTTGACGCATCTCCAGCATGGTCAGGATGATCAAACACTCGGCTTAATTCGGAGGAGAACTGAGCAAAGGTGAGAGATGTTAGAGGGTTGGTGGAAGAGAAAGCAAGCGCCCATGCTAGAGCCTGTTCCCGCAGCAAACCCATAACATAATATATTCTTGAAAGGTCAGAAGCAAAAGCCGAGGGTTGCTGGCTGAAGACCATTTGGCACTGTAGCAGGAAGCCTCGGCATTTGGAGAGCTCACCAGAAAATGGAGGTGGATCAGGAACATACGCTCCGCTGTGGTTCACAGATGGGGCTGCGGCTTGGGAAAAAACCGAAGGAGAAGCCGGTTGTGGCTGAGGAACCTCGGGTGCTGGAGCCTGGGGGACTAGAGGCGGTTGTGGAGCTGCAACAGAGGTAAGCAAAGATGTGAGGTGTGCTACCCACTGCATGAAAAGTGAGATTTTCGTTCCCGTAAACCCCCGTAAAGTCCCGCAGATCTGCCTGATTTTCGTCAGTTTCCGACAATTTGCAACCCGCGCTTGTCCGCGTTTGTCGTGCCACAAATTGTCGGAAACGGACTCTGACGTATGTGGAGAGCGATCAGCTGTACTAATGGCCCTAATTAGCATATGAATGCAGCAAACCCGCGCGGCTGGCCAGGTCTGGCTTGAATAACCTTCTCAGTATTGGCTGAAACCACTATTCTCAAACAAATGAAATCGCTCGTGATTGGCAGTAAAACCACACGTGGCCACGCCAGGCTTTAATTTTCTTACTGAGTATTGGACGGAACCACTTCTTTTTAAACAAGTAAAGTCGCTCGTGATTGGTTGGCATATATATATATTTACATATATATTTATTCATATATATATATATATTTATTCATATATATATTTATTCATATATATATTTATTCATATATATTTACTCATATATATTTACTCATTCATATATATTTATTCATTCATATGGTGTGTATTTATGTTATCCTACACTACTACACAATTATGATACCATCAAGGAAATGAATGAAATATACAAGAAATGAACATTTGCCAGGAAGCTGTTTATGCAAACAAAGAGCTTTATTAAAAACACACACACACACACACACACAACTATATACAACGCGTATCCAAACACATGCGTTACAAAAAACTACAAGTCCGTGAACGGTCCGATTGCTTCCTCGGGGTTGGAGGTAACTGGCAGCATTCCCTCCGAGGCAGGTCCGATGTGCAGACGCCTACTGTGCGTGGCCCTGTACTTCGGCATCGCTTCTAACCGGGACTGCAGCTTAACACATAGTTCAGTGAGATCCGGCCTACGAAATGGCGGCGACCGTACAATCCATCCAGAGACACCGCCGACGACGCCATCTTCTTCGTCGGACATGAGGTCGACGGTGGTGGACTTCCAGAGTTCCACTTCCTCATCTGCCAGCACACTCTGCCTCGCTTTCAGCAGCTGAAAAAAAAAAAAACAATGAATCAGCGCACTGCGTATTGACACAACACCTCTATCAATGCACCTGAAAAATAGTCACCAAATAAAGTCTTACCCTATTTCTTCTAGCCCGACTCCGAGCAGATTGCCTGGCAGCCTCCGCACGCAGCGTGTTGGCTTGTTGAGTGTATCTGAAGCTCCTGCGTACCGTCTCATAATACGTCTTACAGGCAGCTGGAAAACAATTAAGAGAGTGGTATGAATAAAAAATCAAACGCAAGTCACAGTAACAAGGACGGAGAAAACATTAAAACAAGTCACTTACACACAATGTCGTCCTTATCAACATCCTGCAAATCTGGACTTGCCGAGATGGCTCCAAGCAAATAGGAGGTCACCGCCTCATTGTGAGGCGCCAGTAGTCTGTGGAGAAAAAAAAAAAGGACAGCTATGGTCGGTATTTATCCGTATCCATTGCCTTTTACCGCAGAATGAAAGCATATTCTTTAAATCTTACCCTTGCTCCGGTTCATAGCGCCTGCAATTAGTCTCCGAGTTGTGGAGACGGCGTACTGCTTCCTGTAAGTCACAAAAAATACACTTTAATAAAGCATGTTCTTGCAAGGGTACTGTTAGCCGTAGCTAGGCTGCTTTTAGCTTACCTAGCTAGGCTAGGTTGTCTTTAGTTTGCCTAGCTAAGCTAGGCTGCTTTTAGCATAGCTACCAGTAATCGAACATATATTTACCGCTAGCGGGGCGTTGTGCACCCGTCTTCTCTTCCTCGAGTTCGTATAGCCCGCAAAGTTGCTGGACTGCAGAGCCGCCATCTTGTCCTCTATGGACTGCAACCTGGAGTGCATAGAATTCTCCAGCTGAGTGAGGCGCCCATTCATGTGGGCAGCATGCTGGGTGAGCTGACGAGACAGTCCGCTGATAGCAATCAGCAGTTTCTTCTCGTCAGTCTGCGGGCTGGCCGAAAGCTGTGGACTACAAGCAGTTGGAGGCGAGTTGAACGCGAGACGTCGTGCAGCCATTGTTCACGTAACAAAGAAATACAAACACGGTGACTGGAGATGAAGTTGTTCTGAGTATAGTATCACAAACATGTCTGCTAATATGCTGGTCTCGCGAGTAGTCATAGTGCTCAAAAGCTCACACGTGATTGGACGATGGGGCCGAAGGCTCATCAGGCTCCTCCAATCACATACGACATCATTGTTATACGGAAGGACTCGCGAGAAGAGCTCGCGTCGCTCCATTCTGGAAGGTGGCGGTAATGCACCTATAAATTGTTTGCCAACCGCCATTACAAAACAGAGGAAGAAGAAGAAGAAGAGCTCCCGTCTATAATGTAAACAAAGCTAGTCAGTTGAAAGATGGAAGCTCTAACAACGAGGAAAAGACCTCGGCGCTTCTGTGAACATTGCGACACTACACTTTCTAATACACAGTATTACGACCACAGAAAGCTCTATTTCAAAAATGGAGTTTGGGAGAAAAAACACAAAAGGACTAGGTCAGATAACGCACCGAGCCTGTTGCTATCCAGTCATGACCCAACCGGCAGGAGTTATGTTCAACCTGGAGTTGGAGAGATTGACGAAGGTGAAATGCAGTCCGAGGACCCAGAAGAAGAAGTGATGGAAGAAATGCACCCAGGGACTGACGGTTCAGACAACGGTGAGCACCACAATTGTTACTGTCTATTAAAATGTGGTTGCTTCTCGCGGTTATGGGTATTGTAATAATTAAATATGAAAATCGCATTATAATGCATGTTGCATGGGTTGTTTTCCAGACGAAACCGCAGATGACCAAAGCATTCATCTTTTCCTGGACTCCAGTGATTCAGAGTCAGTGCAAGATGATGACGACATCTCCTGTTATGTGGTAAGGCATGAAATTACCTTTGCAGGTTTGGAAGTAGGTTTACTTCTTTAAAGAGTATACAAATGCAGTGACTTTTTTTTTTTTTTACTCCCTCAGTGTTCCTCATAATTAGGTTAACAATGATCTGTCAGATAATTTGCTTTAAATATTTCTGTATAAATTTCAAAACCCTCCATGGCTGCATCTTAATAATTCTAATGATTACACTTCTTTTTAACTTTAAGATTAAGTTCAAAGATTTACAACTTTTGGTTGTAAATCTTGGAAGAGATTTTAATTAATCATAACTGTTATTCAAAACAAATGACAGAGTAGTATGAGTATGGAAACAGTAGATGTGACAGCTTACAGCCTGGGTTCTTATGTTTATCATGTGTGGAAGTAGGTTTACTTCTTTAAAGAGTATACAAATGCAGTGACTTTTTTTTTTTTTTACTCCCTCAGTGTTCCTCATAATTAGGTTAACAATGATCTGTCAGATAATTTGCTTTAAATATTTCTGTATAAATTTCAAAACCCTCCATGGCTGCATCTTAATAATTCTAATGATTACACTTCTTTTTAACTTTAAGATTAAGTTCAAAGATTTACAACTTTTGGTTGTAAATCTTGGAAGAGATTTTAATTAATCATAACTGTTATTCAAAACAAATGACAGAGTAGTAGGCCTATGAGTATGGAAACAGTAGATGTGACAGCTTACAGCCTGGGTTCTTATGTTTATCATGTGTGGAAGTAGGTTTACTTCTTTAAAGAGTATACAAATGCAGTGACTTTTTTTTTTTTTTACTCCCTCAGTGTTCCTCATAATTAGGTTAACAATGATCTGTCAGATAATTTGCTTTAAATATTTCTGTATAAATTTCAAAACCCTCCATGGCTGCATCTTAATAATTCTAATGATTACACTTCTTTTTAACTTTAAGATTAAGTTCAAAGATTTACAACTTTTGGTTGTAAATCTTGGAAGAGATTTTAATTAATCATAACTGTTATTCAAAACAAATGACAGAGTAGTATGAGTATGGAAACAGTAGATGTGACAGCTTACAGCCTGGGTTCTTATGTTTATCATGTGTGGAAGTAGGTTTACTTCTTTAAAGAGTATACAAATGCAGTGACTTTTTTTTTTTTTACTCCCTCAGTGTTCCTCATAATTAGGTTAACAATGATCTGTCAGATAATTTGCTTTAAATATTTCTGTATAAATTTCAAAACCCTCCATGGCTGCATCTTAATAATTCTAATGATTACACTTCTTTTTAACTTTAAGATTAAGTTAAAAGATTTACAACTTTTGGTTGTAAATCTTGGAAGAGATTTTAATTAATCATAACTGTTATTCAAAACAAATGACAGAGTAGTATGAGTATGGAAACAGTAGATGTGACAGCTTACAGCCTGGGTTCTTATGTTTATCATGTGTGGAAGTAGGTTTACTTCTTTAAAGAGTATACAAATGCAGTGACTTTTTTTTTTTTTTACTCCCTCAGTGTTCCTCATAATTAGGTTAACAATGATCTGTCAGATAATTTGCTTTAAATATTTCTGTATAAATTTCAAAACCCTCCATGGCTGCATCTTAATAATTCTAATGATTACACTTCTTTTTAACTTTAAGATTAAGTTCAAAGATTTACAACTTTTGGTTGTAAATCTTGGAAGAGATTTTAATTAATCATAACTGTTATTCAAAACAAATGACAGAGTAGTATGAGTATGGAAACAGTAGATGTGACAGCTTACAGCCTGGGTTCTTATGTTTATCATGTGTGGAAGTAGGTTTACTTCTTTAAAGAGTATACAAATGCAGTGACTTTTTTTTTTTTTTACTCCCTCAGTGTTCCTCGTAATTAGGTTAACAATGATCTGTCAGATAATTTGCTTTAAATATTTCTGTATAAATTTCAAAACCCTCCATGGCTGCATCTTAATAATTCTAATGATTACACTTCTTTTTAACTTTAAGATTAAGTTCAAAGATTTACAACTTCTGGTTGTAAATCTTGGAAGAGATTTTAATTAATCATAACTGTTATTCAAAACAAATGACAGAGTAGTATGAGTATGGTCATTGCATGCAATTTCTAATGTGTCTACTTTTCGTTTGCATAGGATGAGTATGAAGAGGACGAAGTTGTGGAAAGCCTTGATGAGGAGCTGAGTGAAGCCTATCCTCACATACAAGATGGGGAGGGGCATGGAAGTGATCAGTCCACAAGTGAAAAACCAGAAGACTTGTTGATGAAAATTCTGGCCATGATGCTTTTGTCATGGCAAGCTACCTTCAAGATTTCTGACAATGCCATCACATCACTTCTTCTGTGCATCAAACGTTTCATATGGATACTTGGACATGTCATGTGTGCCAGTCCCCTCACTGCCTTTGCAAGCAATATTCCAAAGACTTTATTCTCCTTGAGGAAATGGACTGGTGTCCTCCGTGACAACTTCTTACAGTATGTGGTTTGTCCAAAATGTATGACAGTATACATGCTTACTGAAACCTACGAGCTCAAACGCGATGGGACAAAGGTTTGTAAGACTTGTGGTCACATACCATTCCACAATCACCCACAGCTGAAGTCTACCTTAAGGAAGAAATGTGGCTCTGCTTTGCTAAGAAAGGCAAAATCTTCTTGCGGTAAAGAGTATTTAAATCCAATCCGTTCTTACTGTTACAAGAGTGTTATACAGTCTCTGGAAGAACTTGTTAAAAGACCTGGATTTGAAGAGAAATGTGAAGAATGGAGAAAGCGGAAAATACCTGAGGGTGTGTTAGCAGACGTGTATGATGGACAAGTATGGCAGGATTACCAGTATGTGAATGGAGAGCCTTTTTTAGCAGAGCCAAATAATTTGGCCTTGATGCTGAATGTGGACTGGTTCCAACCTTTCAAAGATGCACCATATTCAGTTGGAGCCATCTACTTGGTAATTTTGAATCTACCTCGTGAAGACCGTTTTAAGGAAGAAAATATGATTCTCGTTGGACTCATACCTGGACCAAAAGAGCCATCACTACATATCAATGCTTTCTTAGACCCCTTAGTTGATGAGCTTCAACAACTTTGGCATGGCATGATTCTGGAAGACAGCTCGTTGTTAGGACATCAAGTTTACAGAGCAGCCCTGCTTTGTCTTTCATCAGATATCCCCGCAACTCGAAAATGTGGAGGCTTTGTTGGACATGGAGCATACAGAGGTAATTTAAATATCAATATTAAATATTACATCAACATTAATCATTGAATCAGTAAAATCAATATGTAAATGTTTACATTGTTTATGTTTGAATGGATAGCAGTTGGTCTGTTTCATCAAATTCTGAAATATTGAAGTGTATGTAACATATTTCATTTTGCTTACATTTGCAGGATGCCACAAGTGTTTGAAGACTTTCAACAAGAAAGGATTTGGTGAAAAAATGGACTACTCAGGATTTGAACGGTCTTCATGGGAGCCACGCACGTCGAAGGATCACACACACTATGCTGGATTATCCAAACGGGCAAAGACGAGAGCAGAGCAGAAAATAATCGAGCGGAAGTATGGAGCTAGATGGTCAGAACTTTTCCGCTTGAGTTACTATGATGCCATCAGATTTGTCGTCATTGATCCAATGCACAACCTTCTCCTTGGTACGGCAAGACATGTATTCAGACTGTGGACAGAACTAGGAATTTTAACAACTAAAGGCCTTGATGAACTTCAAGCTAGAGTGGAAAACATCAAAGTACCTTATGAGGTTGGAAGAATTCCCTTACGGATTTCATCTGGCTTCACAGGATTTACAGCAGATCAGTGGAAAAACTGGACAACCATTTACTCACTGTTTTGTCTGAAAGGGCTTATCGACAACAGACACTATGACATGTGGTTTGACTTTGTGCAGGCTTGTATCATACTCTGCTCCAGAGTCATATCAATCAATAGACTGGAAGTAGCAGATGGATACCTGCAGACTTTTCTCTCCAAATTTGTCGAACTGTTTGGCCCATTGCGCTGCACCCCCAACATGCATCTACATCTCCATTTGAAAGAATGCATGTTGGATTATGGACCAGTTTATTCTTTTTGGTGTTTCTCATTTGAGCGTTTTAATGGAATACTGGGAAAGTTTAATCACAACAATAGGACAATTGAAGTACAGATTATGAGGCAATTTCAGCAGAGCCAACAGCTTCATATGCCATGGACATGTGAATATGCTGCAGACTTTGCCAGTATTTTAGGAAGACAAATGGTTGGGACTTTGTCATGCAATGACACAGCTGATATGCTTTATGTGAAGCACAGTGTTTTGGTGTCAGCAGAACGACTGTTCTTTGAAAACTGTGCAGTGGTGCCTCTGTCTCCATTCCACCAGACAATCTTGGATGTGTCTGACAGACGTGCAATGTTGACAATGTATCATCAGATGTACCCTTGTGTCACTGATGTTGACTGTTTTGCCATGACATGCAAACGGGTAACATATATGAATGTAACTTACTCAATCGATGGATCTAGAGCAGAAAGGTCAGCATATGTATGTGCTAAGTGGTGTGGAAACACTAACAGTTTTGAGGATCCCATCCTTGACCCTCTAGCAGAACTACGACCAGCCATTATAAAGCAGTTTATTGTTGTTAATGTTGTGTCAAAGGGTACTGCATTTAAACATGTTATTGCACAAGTTTCCTGGCTTCATCCCCATCCGGACAGGCATTTTTATGGAAAGCCAATAGAAGTTTGGGGCTTGCAGGGAACAGACACGTCATACCCAGCATCATTTCTGCCAGTTGAGCGCATTGCAAGAAGATGTGTGGTTAATACATCCTCTGTGCATTTAAGTAAGACCAAAGAAAAAGTCACAGTAGTCATGCCACTATGCACAGTAGTTGAGCTCTAGGAGACTGTGATCTCTACAGACCCCTCATTCTGATTCTAATGTTGTTTTTTCATTTTACCAACTGATTCTGATTAAAACTAATTTTTGAAATAAATTATTTTGTGTATTTTTTATACATAACTTTTGCATACACAGTAATCTAGCGTACTTTAATTAAATAAATCAATTCAAGCTAAAATGTAAGAGTCTATAATTAGGCTATACTGAGCCTGATCTATTTCTACCATCTATTTGGGGGATATTTATTGCCACACTTTGGGCCACTTAATACCAATTTAGCATGCTGACCTTTGTCCTTATGACCACAGTGTACCAATCTTCTGATGGCTACTTCCAGCAGGATAATACGCCATGTTATAAAGTGAATCATCTCAGACTCATTTCTTGAAACTTTTCCACTTAAGTAATTGTGAATTGAGCATATTGACAGACAACATTTTATTTTTTTTTATCTTAAATGCAAATTTTTTTTAAAATAATTACTGCTCTAAATGTATTGCTCTGTCAGCTAAAGATCTGTTTTGGTCTCTATACTTTAATTAAATAAATCAATTCAAGCTAAAATTTAAGAGGCTATACTAAGCCTGATCTCTTTGTATCAGAAAGGGGTAAAACCCCCCCCTGCAACCCTGATTTGCATTTGTATAGCTCACAGCATGTTCATTTACATGTTAAAGCCTCCCCTAGAATTCCATGGGGGGGAGGCATGGGGGGAACACTGCCTAAGAAATTCCACGTCAATTTCTGACAATTTACGGGAGTTTTCGGCGAAGCCTGCAAATTGTCGTATACTGCAGCTAACCTGAAGTTCCACGACAATCTACAGTGCCGTATATTGACGAAAATACCACTTTTCATGCAGTGACCTGTGCCGTCAACTGTGCGAGCTCCATGTGAATGGTCTGGCTGGCTGTCTCCAGTCCAGTAAGCCTGTGCTCGCTCTGTCCCAAAGCTCTCCCTTGCCGTGTTATGAGATCCCTCAGGGATTGGACTTCTGAGGTGGGGGCAGGCAGCTGCTCAGCCGGGTCCATGTTGTCTGGTCAGATTGTACTGTCACGCTCTACAGGCACAGATGGACAAACAGAGCAGTTGGCACAGTTAGGAGGTTTATTTTACTCTTGGTCAGACAGGCAAGGGTCAGATCCGTGAAACCAGTCAGAGTTTGGGGGCAATCCTTGAATCTGTGGTCGGGCAGGCAGGAGGTCGTCACCAGGGAGTCCAAGATAACAAGCGAGGATGAGGGTCCAGATTATCAGACGAGACACTGGGGGAAGAAAACAGGCAGGTTTAGGAGAGGGAACAAACTTGGCTTAGTCAAAACTTAGACTTGAGCAGACAGATGGCCTGAGAGTGTTTACCACTAGGGGTTAGACAACAATCTGACGGCGAGCAGGTGGAGGCTCCGTCCTTATATTGGGTCCACTGCTGATCAGGGAATGACCTGCAGGTGTGAGGGTCACAGCAGCTGATGTGACACTATCAGTTCTTTTAATATGTATCTAGCTTAGAGTGTGTTTTTCATCTAATATATAAGTTTGATAGTAAACACTAGAAATAAAACTTGAACAAAAATGTTAAGATAGCACAATCAAACAGCACTCTGAACAAATTAGTTTTTAATCTGGATTTGAAGCAACGGAGAGTAAGAACTAAAAACTGCTTCTCTATATTTGGTTCTGGATTGATTTGAGCCAGAAGACCAGAGAGGTCTGGACCATTGATACTCTGACAAAAAGTCTCAAAGTATTTTGATGCAAAGTCATTTAGTAATTTAAAGACTAAAAAAGACAAAAGAAAGATATGACTGAGATATCAGGAGCCAATATAAAGACTTTAAACTGGGTTGATGTGATCCTCTTGGTATTGGTGAGGACAAAAGACAGTGGCTTTTTGGATCAACTGCGGCCAACGAATTATCTAAAAGTTAAGATAAAAACATATTTATAAAAAAAAGGGTCATATGGGATTAAGAACTGTTAAAATCCACCAATGCCATTACTTAGGGAAGCAGAATTTAGCAGAAGATATGTAATTGCTGCCCTGAAACACAGATCTCAAATTACGTATATTTCTCTGCTGTTCTGTGCTTTGGATATTTTCTGTAATTTTCCTCAAAAGCCTCTCGGTGTGTTTCTTTCCTGATGAAAAGGTTTTTTTTTTTTTTCCAGCTGCTACTCACCCCCAGATCTGTTAAATATTCATATGAGCTCCTACCGTTATCAAGCCCAAGCATATTGCTCTGTAACCGCCTGTTTAATGGGGACACTGGCTTTGTTCACAGTTGGAGCTTCTTCATCAGCATGATACAGATCACAGTACAAAGCCCTTCTACATGCCACTATCAGGGTGAAGGTGAGAAGACATAACTCTGGATCAGAAATGACAGAAGGAAAACATAACAGCGTTAGTCTCCTGAGTGAATAGTTTGACTTCCACTGAATTTAAGCATGACTTTGAAGAACTGTGGATTAAATTTGTACATTTTGCTTTACACAAGACACCATGAAAGGAAACAGAAAGTCTTTAAGACCCTTCAAACTTAATACACTTGTGTTCACATTGTATAGTACTCTTTTAAAGACCTTTCACGCAAAGCTTCAAAGCTGTTTTTCTTTTTGCTTTAGTTATATGAACAGTCCTATTGAAAAACGTAGTGCTGTTAAATAGTTTTTTTTTCAGCATCGACATATATTTCCCCTCTTGTATTATATATTAAAATATTATTACATTCAGTACAATTAGGTCCTGCATTAAACAGGTGAAATTAGCACTCATTAAAAGTTGTGGTGTGTTAAAATAGGCCAGTAGTTTACTATAAACTAAAAGTACTTTTAATTTCACCAGTAAAAAAAAAAGATTGTAATTTTACTGTATCAACATGTCTTTGC